TCGGGCCATGAAGGGCTTGAGAGGATCTGTGGCACCACTGGCACTCTTTAGGGCTGGGGGGATGCTGGGGGGCTCTTTAGGACTATGGGGACTCTACGGACCCTGGGGGGCATTGGGGTTGTATAGGGCCATGGGGGTGTTTGGGGGCTCTGTAGGGCCATAGGGTCTCTATAGGGTCATAGGGATTCCATAAGGCTGTAGAGGGCCATAGGAGGGCTGTGGGGCTCTACAGGACTGGGGGACTTGATGGGCTTTATAGGGCCCTTGGGGGTTCTATAGGGCTTTATAGGGCTTTGGGGGTTGGGAGGGTGGTGAGCTTTGTAGGGCCCTGGGGGCTCTATAGGTCCGAGGGGAGCAACGCGGGGCCGCCCGCAGGGTGATGTTCGCCCCCAGGCGCATGGTGATGGTGCCCCCACGGCACTACTGCGTGGTGCTCAACCCTGTGGCCCGGAGCCCTACGGGGGCTGTGCTGGTCGATGGAGCAGGGCAGGCCCGTCTGCGGCACGCTGACCTTGATATCCGCCTGGCCCAGGAGCCCTTCCCCCTATACCCCGGCGAGGAGATCCAGCAGGTACCTGTAGCTCCCTATAGCAGCCCCAGGGCTCCCTATAGCTCCTCTAACCCCACCATGGTCCCCTATAGGCTCCATAACCCCTCTCTGTAACCCACCACTGTAGTGTTCCATGGCCACCTATAGCTCCTCTAATCCCTGTCGTCTCTCACAGATCCTGTAGCCCATATAGCTCCCTGTGCCCCCCCGATAGCTCCTATAGCTGCCTCATCGCCCCCAAAAAAACCCCCCCCCTTGCTCCCCATGCCCCCCCCCCCCGGCCTGCTATAGTCCCCAGCATGTCAACTCTGTCCCTTCTCCGAACCTGTGTACCTGTCCCCAGGGTGTCCCTGCAGTGTCCTCTGTTCCCAGGGTATCACCCATGTCCCCCATAGTGTCCCCCCATCCCCAGGCTGTCCCTGACATCCCCTGTAGTGAAAACCTGTGTCCCAGTCCCCAGGGTTTCACCCCCCATGTCCCATGCCATCACCCCTGTGTCCCCCTTGCCTCCGCAACCCTGTCATGACTCCCATGTCCCCACATCCCCCATTGTGACCCCCCCAGATGCTTCCCCACATCCCCTGCAGTGACCCCCCCTATGGCGCCCATGTCTTCTGCCATGCTGCCTGTGTCCCCAGGGCATCTCCCAAAGTGCACCCCGCACCCCTTGTCCCCACGTCCTCCACACCTCTGCTGTGACACCCATGTCCCCAGCGGATTCTCCCTCAACCTCACGTCCATGTGTCCCCAGGGCATCACCCCACTGCAGGTGGTGCTGGCCGACACTGCTCTGCGCCTGCGGGCCCTGCTTGACTTCAAGGACGAGGATGGGAACAAGTTTGTGGCAGGAGATGAGTGGCTCTTCGAGGGTCCTGGTGAGCATGGGGGTCACCCCCTTTTGGGGACACCCTGGGGGACCCATGGGCTGACAGTGCCACCTGCCTGCAGGTACCTACATCCCCCGCAAGGAAGTGGAGGTGGCCGAGATGCTGCAGGCCACTGTCATTGGGCACAACCAGGCCATCCGCCTGCGAGCACGCAAGGAGTGCCTCGACCGCTATGGCACCCGCCGCGTCACAGGTAGCACCCGGTGACACCCTGGGCGCCTCCTGGGTTCAGCCCTCGCTCAGTGGCCTTGGTGTCAGCTGGCACGATACCACCCTGTACCATTGGTGCTACCCCTCGGCACACATGGGAACCCTCTGTTGCTTGAAGGCTCCCCTGGGACACCCTGTGCCACCCCACCCCATACCCTGGGACCCTTTTCTCACTGTCCAGCACCTCTGAGACCCCTGTGTCACCCTCCAGCACCCATGGGAGCTCCATGTCATCTGACAGCACCTCTGGGGCCTCCAGCACCCCTATCCCATCCCTTGGGACTCCTGGGATCCCCAGCACCCCCTTCCTACCTCACAGCATTCTCAGGACCCCTGTCCCATCCTTCAGTGCCCCTGGGATCCCCAACATGCCCATCTCACCCCCATAACCCCCCTCCAACCCCACAGCACCCCTGGGATCCCCAACACTCACAATCCCACCCCCCATAAAGCCCCTTCCACCCCACAGCATCCCTGGGATACCCAATGCTCCCATCCCACCCACC